CCCCCCCACCTTTACTGCTTCCTTGACTCTGTTCACACTATTCCTAACACCTGGTACGCTCTTTGTTGTTAAATTCCTCCCCATTCTTTAAAGATCAACTAAAATACTTACTCTAGGAAGCCTTCCAAAATTTTCCTAATAAGTAATAACTTTCCCTTTTGACTTCATTTCAGCATCAATGTGTAATTTGTTTTATAATTATTTTCCTATAACAACTGCCTCTCTAGAACTAAAAGCTCCATGAGGACATCAATTTCTATATCTACCTTTTAAAAAGGTAGTGAAGAGGGCAGCTAGGTGGCACAGTGGATAGGGCACTGGCCCTGGAGTCAGGAGGACCTGAGTTGAAATCCAACCTCAGACACATAACACTCAATAGCTGTGTGACCCTGGGCAAGTCACTTAACCCCACTAGCCAAAAAAAAAAAAAAAGAAAAGAAAAGGTAGTGAACTGGAGGAAGAGGAGGAAGGGGGGAAAAGTTAGAACTCAAAATCTTACGTTGAAAACCAAAAATAAAGAAAGGATGAAAGGTAGTAAACTTAACAGTAGAAGGCCAATGATAAATGACCCATGGGACCCAGATGGACTTTTGTGAATCCTTAAGTATGACTTCATTAGCAATATGTTTTAATTACATGATATATTGGATAGGCAAGAACTGTGAGCAAAAGTAGTTACTTTGAGCACCTAACAAGGAAATACAGGAAGAAAAGGAAGTAAAAGGCTTGGGTGCCTTCTCTGCCTCTACCAACTTCCCTTGTCCCTTGACCTTATGGAATTCAAAGACTATTAGGTATGAGGCCAAGCTCCCCAAACACGGCTGGTTCTTATCAGATCAACTCGGGTGGCTGACCCTGTACTCCAGTGATGGTTTACTAAATAGAAGGTAGAGTTCAGATCTTCAGTGGCCTGCTGTACAGAGGAAATCAAGTGTCCATTATCCCTGGGGACCCCATGTGGGTCAGACATGGAACCCTCTGGAGATGGGAGGTTTTGGGGGAATCATTACATGGGGGATGTGGAAGTACAACCTGTGTAGTACTTGCTCCTAATACAGTCATAAATTAGCCTGAACGCATAGTGGTGATGAATTTGTAGGATTCATGGACAGTAGTCCCAGTTTGGGCTATTGTTCAATCAGCCTGGTCTATTAAAGCAGCAAAAGTTCACTGGAAGTGCCTCAATTTACACAAACCATCCCAAATCTTTAACATCAATCAGTACCACATTCCCAGGAACACTGCTGACATTTCTACCCCCATAGCAGATACGGCAGAGATTGGGGCTTCCTGTTGTACCAGATCCCCTTATAACAATTCAGTGTGGCCAATGTGTAAGGCAGATAGGAAATGGTGTCTTACCATGGACTACCGGTCTCTGATATGTAACCTGACATGGGAGCAGTGGTTAAGATCAGGGATTCCCTGAGGGGTGAGGGGTGAGGGGTCTGGACTCTCAGTGGGTTGAGCTTTGAGCTGCCTGGAAGTCAGTAACACTGTCCTATGGGAGGAGAAGAAGCAATTTATCATTTACATAGTCTCCTTCTATGAGTTTTGCCAAGTGGTTAGAGGCCTAGAAAATCAATGGCTAGATTAGGCTTTCTTTCAGGGCAAAACTAATGACAGAATTTTGCTGATGCAACACCCCCACCCCCACCCCTCTGCCTTGCACATTCAAGTGGGACACATCAGCATTCACCAACACTTAGATACTCCTTTAGCTGAATAGAAAAATGCTATGGAAAGTGTCACCCATGCCACTGCCATTCCTAACTAAATACATCTCTATTTCAGTCATTTGGGGCAGAGCTGCCCTGTTCTGGTAGACATGGAATTGTCTCATTCCTTTATCCAATGATGAGGTGTCGGCCACCACCCTGGACCATCTAGGTTTCCAGCTTTCTCAGCCTTCCCTCCATCACAATGGTTATACGTCCTTTAGGACTTAAGTGGCCCAGGACAAGCAAGTGACTTTTACCAAATAGCTGCCATTTCCACTTTGGCCACTGATCTCAGGAATAAATAGCACTGCCATATCTACCTGGCGTGCCTTCACAACTGTAGCTGCATTGACCAACCACCCTTACATCTGATCCACCTCTGTTTCTTCTGCTCAGATGAACCACACATCCAAGGCTATGTAGGACTGGGCCAAATCTCAGGGTCCTTTCATTTGCTCTATCACCATCAGGCAGCAGACTTCAGTGAGCACTAGAATGGAATTCTCAAAGACCATCTTTGTTTGATGGTGCCTGGCTTTGCCAAATGGCCTGACTTCCTTGCACAAGTGGTGCCAGCCCTCAGTCACTACCACTTCACTAAAGGGGTTGGTTCTCTAGGCTGGCACCTCTTCAATGCCAGCCATAGGTATGAAGGATCGGATGGTCTTTGGACCTGAGGGAGTACCGTGTATCCTTATTAGGTGTCTACAAGACATTTTCTTACTGCTGTGATCTAATAAAAGAGGTTGTTTTGTTTTTGCCATTTGCCTTGTTGAATCAATCTCCACAAATCCTCTGCTTGGAATCAATGGGCATCTGGCCCAGAAAACCTCCCCAGTGCCAATGCCAGCCTGGCAGCCTCCAGGGTTTTTAATTGCTCAGTCTCTCCCTTCTGCTTAAGTCCAAGAGTAGGCTGAAAAAAGGGGAAAGTCCCATAGACTCAGCCCAAAGTCAACCGAGTTTCCTAAGCCTTTCATGGGCAACCCTATTCTACAAAAGTCCAGAAAGAGGCACACCCTTGCAACCTGCAAATTCAACCATTCAAAATCTGAAAAAGGCAAGCCCTTACATTGCTTAGTCTCTTTTATAGCCCCTAACATCCTGTAATTTCATCTAGTGGATGGAGGGTAGGGGTGCAGGGTGGGGAGGATGACTCACTTGAGCTAGGGTCCTCTGCTGCCCCCCTGCTACAGGAGGAAGAACTTGAAATCAAGAACAGTAATCCATCTGTAAATTTCTCCACACCTGGAGATCATTCAAAACCCTAAAGGTTCATTTCAATCTATATTCAAACTTCAGGGGAACAAATGTGGGGAGATTAGAAGCCTATGGGACCTGGCCTAAAGACACTAATTAGCATCCACATGGAGCTGCAATGCTACCAAAACCAAATTTTCACTAAAAATAATGCTAAACTCAAAAATAATTTCTCTCTCAAGTTCTCTTTTATCTGTCCCTCTTGTATATCTCCAGTCATCCTGCACCACCAACTTTCAGGCCTTATTATCCCTTGCCCAGATGATTACAGCAGCCTCTTAATTAGTCTCCCTGCCTTAATAATAATAGCTAGTATTTATATAGTGCTTACTACATGCTAGTCACTGTGCTAAGTAAACACTTTATCTGATTTGATCATCACAACAACCCTGGGAAATATGTGCTATTTTTATCACAAATTGAGGAAACTGAGGCAAAAAGAGATTACGTGATTTACCCAAGGCCATATGCCTAATAAGTATCAGAAGCTGGATTTGAACTCAAGCTCCTCCAGTCTCCAAGCCCAGCACTCTATCCATTTTGCCCCCTAGCTCCCTTTCAGGTTTCTCCCCTCTTCAATCCATCCTCTCCACAGCTGCCAAAAATAATACTCCTAAAACAAAAGCCTGACCATGTCACTGACCCTACTTATAAATAGCTCTGGTGCCTCTCGACTGCCCCTATGATCAAACACAAACTCTCCTGTGCAGCATTTGAAGCCCTTCAGCATCCGGCTCTAGCCTTATACACTCTACTATGCAGACAAACTGGAGGATCTACTTGTTATGCATAGACACAGGTGCCTTGGCACAAGAAAGTCCCCCATGCTAAGAACCACTCCTTCCTCAGCTCTTAAAATCCCGAGGAGCTTCCTTCAGGGCTCAGCTACACTGCCACCTCCTCCAGGAGGCCTTTCCTGATCTCCTAGCTGTTACTGCCTCCCTGGCTCTGAAATCACCTTGCCTTTACTTTAAATGTATTTTGAATATACTTAAATGGGTATATGTTGTTTCTTCCAATAGAAAGTAAGCTCCCATAAGGAATGAACTGTCACTTTTGTCTTCAGTATCCTTAATCCTAGCACAGTGCATGGTACATAACAGACCTTTTGTTAAACTGAACTGAGTAGGCTGTATATATTAATCAGTGTGCTCAGGCTGATAAGGTCTTTCATATCCAAAATACACATCCACATCCAATACTAACCAACTTGCCGGGAGATTCCATTCATGCTGAGATCCCACAGGACTCTGAAGGCTCTCGATGAAATCTCTAATGGCCATGTCAGAAGCTTGTAAGAGGAAAAAAATAAGTTAGCAGAGACATTCCTATGTGACAATACAGGGTTCTCACTACTTTGAGCCCCTTGTCTATGGACTAGTCATTCTTTCTACAGAGAAGTAAGTATATGTCAAGTGCATGTAGTGAGAACTCCAAACTAGGTAACAGTTAAACAGTATATCCCCACACCCCCTTCCAGCCTCCTTTTGTGTGTTCTTCCCTCGTTAGACTGTAAGCTCCTTGGGGGCAGGGGACTGCCTTTCTTTTTCTTATTTGTACCCCCAGCCCTTAGTGAAGTGCCTGGCACATAGTGTGCACTTAATAAATTGTTTATTGAATTGAACTGAATTATTTTCAGGTCAGTCTCTTCTTCCACTGCCACAGGAGACCAAATGTCTCTGAGAGGTGTCCCTGATGCTACATAAACACAGTGGATACCATTCAGGTGCCACTCATCTGAATTAAAGAACCCTAAACCACAAGCCACCTGGGTCTGTACGTCATACTTTGAGGGTAGACGAATACAAAGATGGTTTTATAAACTGGCACAAGCCATGGGCATCCAAGAAGGAAATTATGAATATCAAACTCTATTATTTCACTACAGATGATTCTCTATTGAATTCTGTTATTATTTTTAAATTTTATTTAAATTCTAATTTTACTTGCAAATTCTATTATTGCTTTTCAAAAAACTTATTAACTTCAGAGATATCAGTAAAGAATAAAATAAATATATAAAACAAGGAATAAGATCATACTGATGAGGATGGGATTTAGACCCCAAAAAGGAAAAACCCTGGACTTTCCCACTGGGTCAAATCTCTGAGGCTATAATCCCATCAATTTCATTATGGCTAAACTCCATCTCCCAATTCTCTGTTACCCTTAAACTAGCCTAGCCCTCCATTGTCATACCTCCCTATGGCCACTTACCACCCTTAATTCTATCTAGGCTCCTTTCTCCTTTGGCCACAGGGTCCAGGTCCCTGGGAATTCTATTGCCTCATATTGGCCTCTATTGGCCACTCCTAGATCCCTCCCATAGTCTTTCTGTATATAAGGTTCATCTTGTCTCCATTAAGATGCTTAGATTCTTAAAATCTAGCCAATAGCTTACTAATGTTCAGACTCCTTAAGATGCCCAATATGATGGATGTTCCAATAAACCTTGTCTTTGGCTGAAAGAAGGCTTGGGTTGAATTCTTTCGAGCAGGATCTGTGTGTTGTGATTTTGGTGTCCCAGCACCCCTAAGCCCCTAAGCCTCAACAATACCAAAACCTTTGCTATTATATAGCACATTTTAACAAGTAAAACAAACAAATAAGCAAACAAAAAATGTATTTACTGTTTCCTTCCAAGTTCATTTGAAGTTCCACTACCTTTGGTTTTGTTTTCACATATATTGGTGTAGTCAAGTGGTATGCTATTCAAGTCCGCTGATATTAGTTTGCATCACTTTGTCTAGATATGTATGCCCTTGTTTCTTTGTATTCTTCATTTGTATCATCAGTTGGTGTTGTAGTATTCAATTTCATACCACATTTCATTTCACTGGACATGAAAGAGGCTTGCTGTCTTTTGAGTGGAACAAATAAGGGGACTATGAATCTTTTTCTTATTGAATATTAATATGGGGTTTTTTTTTGCTTTTCTTTGGATTTTTAGGACAAGGTCCCAGCAGTTTGGAGGACTGGGGAATATAACGACTTCTGTTTTGGACATGGTGAATTTGAGATATCTCTGGCCAGATGGATATATACAATAAGTGATTGGTAATTAAGGCTTGACACTCAAAGGGAGGGACTGGGGCTAGATTTACAGATCTGGGAGTCATCAGCATAGGAATGATAATAAACCCAAAAGAGAGAAGAGTAGGAGTCTTAAAATACAGCCTTGGTGAACACCCACACGTAAGGGGCAGGAACTGGATAAGGAGACATTAGTCAGGTAGGAGAATCAAGACAGAGTAGTATAATGAAAGATGAACAAGGAGAGAATATGCAAGAAAAGAGTTGGGTCAATAGTGTGAAATCCAGCAGATAGATAGGTCAAGAAGTATAAAGAAAGGGGCAAAAAAAACCCTTCAGATCTGGTACTTAAGTGAGCACCGATAAGTTTGTAGAAAGCATTTTCAGTTGAGTAATGAGACTGGCAGACAGACTGCAAAAGGGTAAGGAATAAGGGGAGTAGAGGCAATGAATGTAAACAAGTTTCTTGAGGAATTTGGCTGAAAAAATACAGGGCCACAGCTTTAGGGAACAGTAGAGTCTAGTTGAAAATTGTCTAAAGATAGGGGAGATTTTAACATGCCAGAAGGCTGCCACTGCAATTTACCTGGGGGGGAGTGTGTGTGTGACATGATCACTTCAGGAAAAATCATCATGGTGGTCACTTGGAGGATGGATGAGAAAAGATGGTTTGAAGCAAGATCAATTAGGATCCGATTACAACAGTTCAGGTGAGAGAGACTGAATTAGGGTGGTCCCTGCATTAGTCCTACTTTCTGTCACTATTTGGAAGAAGGAGAAAAGTCAGCCTCCTCTAATTGGAAAAAAGGAAAAATTAGAATTAAGCTTTTGAAAGTAGTAATATAAATACCTTTCCACTGGCCTAGCAGGACTAGCAAAATCCCACCTTCTACAGCCTTTCTCACTCTTTGTTAATGCCAATATCTTTCTTCTATTGATTATTTCCTATTTATCCTGTATATAGCTTGTTTGTATATAAGTGTTTTATTTTATTTTTTGTTTTGCTTTGTTTTTTGAGGGCAATTGGGGTTAAGTGACTTGCCCAGAGTATGTAAGTGTTTTCATGTTTGTCTCCTGTTTTTTTTCATGTTTGTGAAGGCCTCTGGGGCTTTTGTCTAACTTTCTATCCCCAGTAGGAAGGCAGATACAAGCTGAATAGCCCCAAATCCTTCAACTGTTCTCCACCCACTGTGGTTTCTAGATTCTTCACCATCCTCATCATCTTCCTCTGGACTGTTTGACAACATCCTTCCTAAAGCGAGTTGATCCAAACTGACCACAAGACTTCAGTTGGAGACTCCAAGGCAAAGGACAACAAAACCAACTCAAAAGGCATTGGCTTTAGAGTCAGAAGCCCATGGTTTTGAACTCCAGCACTGCAACCCACTGTGTGACCCTGGGCAAGTTGATTAACCTCTCTGGGCCTCGATTTCCCCAAGGGTAAATGAGAGCATTGGATTAGATGACTTTTAAGGATCCTTTTGGAATAGCTAAATGAGGCAGTGGATAGAACACTGAGCCTGAAGTCAGGAAGACTCATTTTCCTAAATTCAAATGTGGCCTCAGATACTTTTCTAGCTGTGTGACCCCGGGCAAGTCACTTAACTCTGTTTGCCCCAGTTTCCTCATCTGTAAAACAAGCTGGAGAAGGAAATGGCAAACCACTGCAGTATCTTTGCCAAGAAAACCCCAAACAGTACCATGAGAACTGAGACACAGCTGAAAACAACCGAACAACACCTATACCCAGTATCACTTCTTCCACTAATTGGCTGGTTTCTCCCAGAACCTCTAGAAGGATGCCCTGGCCACCCAGATCTTCATTATTCTCCTTCAGGGTAGAGACAGTCTTTCTTTCCACTTATTTCCATATTCCCAGCACTTGACTTGACTTCTAATAGCTCTCCATTTCTAACAAGATAAAATCTGAATTACTAGCATTCAAGGCCTTTTATAATCTGGCCCTAATCTAGATTAAAGGCATTATCTCAGACTGGCCTATGGCAAACTTTACCCTCTAGGAAATCTAAACTATTTGACACTTTCTTAAACAAGCAATGTATTTTCCTACCTCAGGGTTTTTGCTCCTATTTCCTCTTCCTGGAATGTCCACCCTTCCAATGTATTAAGAGCATTGTTGTTATTGTTGTTTACTCTTCATAATTCCATTTGAGGTCTTGGCAAAAATATTGGAATGGTTTGCCTTTTTCCTTTTCCAGCTCATTTTACAAATGAGGAAACTGAGGCAAACAGGGTTAAGTGACTTGCCCAGGGTTACACAGCTAGTGAGCCCTATCTGAAATCAAGATGAATCTTCCTGATTCCATTCCACCCACTGAACCACCTAGCTGCCCTGGAGGGGATCTTAGAGTAGGCTCTTATCTCCCCTACTAGAATTGTAAGATCCTAGAAGGCAGGAACTATTTTGTGTATTGTTTTATTCCTTATAGAAGAGTTCTACAAACTGGAGCATGATCCTATCAATCCCCTGAGGAAGGAACACAAAGCAATAGACAAAATAATTAGTTAATAGCTCTCATTTATCTACTTTTTCAATGAAAACAAAGTTCAAATAAAAGTCAACAACAGCAGAACTGGCAAGGTGAATTCACACTAAGCCATAGCAAATACCGCAGCAGAGACCACTTAATACGGTATGTGGAAATGAAGACCAATTTGAGTTGGACTGTGTCAAGCAGGATTTATCACAGATGAATTGTGATATCATGTTACTTTAGCATTTGACTATAAGGTGTGTCTGTTTCAATTAAACAATCTTTACGTGAAAGTTGAAAGTACCAAAAGATCTATCAACATCATCCATTTTGGTAAATGTAATATAATGAGCTAATTTCCATGCTCCCACCCCCATAACTGCAGCTTAAAAAAAAAATGAAATAACTAAAGAACTGTCAGAGTTATTACTTGAAATTTTCACCAACTAAATTAAAATGTAGTCTTGATGGGGTTGGGATCTGGGCCCCAGAAAGGAAAAATCCTGGACTTTCCCATATGGTCAAATCTCTGGCTCTATAATCCCATCACCTGGCCTTTCATTGTGGCTATACCCAATCTCCCAATTCTGTTACACCTCCCTATGGCCCCTGGCCATTTCCCACCCTTAATCCTAGCTAGGCTTCATTCTCCCTTGGCCATGTGGTCCAGGTTCCAGGAGTTCTGTTCACTCCAGCTTACTGGTCACTCCCATTCAGATCATCCTTAGACCCCTCCTCCAGTCACTTCAAACTTCTTGACCAC